AGATATAGTGTGTGTGAAAGAGGAGGGTCTGTGGAAGGACATTTAGAAGAAAAATAGAGAGGCAAAGCATTAATGGCACAAAGAAATGTGGTATTATCTGTTGAAGATATTTTGTAGTTTTATCAACTGTACTAGGGAGAAATGTTCACCTGTTGAAATATCCATTTTGTAAGCCAAATAATAATGTGATTGAATGTATAAAAGAAAATGAAATGAAAAAAATTTAAATTAAAAAAAGAAAACTATGGGACCAGTAGTTAGCGTAATGGCTATGTCACTGGACTCCCATGTAGTCAACCGCGGTTCGCGTTCTGGACCCGGTGGCTTAAAACTCACGCCGGGTGCGTGTGCGTGCGTGTCCAAGATCCCGAGAGGAGAATGGAGGAGAAGGGATTGCGGCGTGGCATCCCCCCTGGGGGGGGTGATTTCTCGCTTTCTGTCTCTCTGTCTCTCTCTGTCTGGCGAGTGCACGCGCCCTATAGCAAAAACCTCTAAAAAAAAAAAAAAAAGAAAACTATCATGTGGAAGAAGATATTTTCAATTCATATATGTGAAAAAGATGGAGAGATAATACAAGATAGACAGCTAGACAGAGAGACAGATAAAAAAGAATAAACAGGAAGATAGTCTCCTATAAATGAAAAAAATAGACAAATAGAATTATAGACAAAAACTTAATCAGACAGTTCACAAAAGGAAATGTCTAATAGTCAATAATAAAAGAAGTTTCTCATTTTCAGTCAGGGAAATGAAAATACTTGTCCTCTCTCCTTGAAAAAATAAAATCAATCCATTGTAAAATAAAACTTGTTCCAGGGTCTGGTATCAATGGAATCCTTTATCACAGAACAATTCATTGTCCTTTGATGAATATTAAATGATACTGAGTTTATGTAGAACTAAATGAGAGAACTAATTCTATTACATACATGTTAGATATATGCTTTGCCTTTGGACAGTCCAAAAGCAGATATTAGTGTGTACAATTCATTTTATAGCTCGCAAATACTGTGAGCTTTGTATAAGAGGCAATAACATTAGGCCAGATTTAGAAATCTGAGAACCAATTTTTATACTATGAAACAATTTTTAAGATCCCAGAGTGTATTTAAAATTTTTTTAAATTAAACCTAATAATGTATAACAATTGAATGTATAAATAACAATAAAAAATTAAAAGCATAACAAGCAAAAAAATCTTATTGAAAAACAATAATAGAAAATGTAATCGATGCAAGAAAGTATTTTGAAAAATTTATATATATTAATTTATTTAATATTTAACAGTTGGAGGTCACATTACTTATTCCATTTTATATATAATGATGTGGAAGGAGAAGTATTTAGCAATCTGCTCAACATCACTGAAATTACAAGTGATGAACCCACTACACAGATTTTGGTAATATGTTTTACATTCATTATCTTCTGCTTGCATTTTATAGTTATTTCTGTTTTGGTGTTTTGTGATTATTTTCTATTTTTTAGTTTCATTCTCAGTCTGTTGTACTAATATAATATGAATTTTGAGATCTAATAATGTAACAGTGATCAATACTTTAAAACTTGGTTTGTGGAAAGAAAAATGAGATGATTTTGTGTAACTTTTTTATATTCTTGAACATTTTATACTGTCAGTAAAGTTATGCAAATTCCATAAGCAGTAGAATAACACATCAGAAATTTTTCTGCTACATATATGTCAAAGAGGGAATTCATTAAAATATCTTTTACATTTCTGCCTTTGCCAAATAAAAGCTGCAAAAAACAGGTTCGTGTAGTCTCAGCATTTTTTAGGTTCCAACAGGAATAAAATTTGCAGCTCATTAACTTTCTGTTTCTTTTCTCTGAAATCTCTATAAATTGCTGTTTCTTTATCGGTGAAAAGTAATATTTATTTTACATTTTTATATAATATTTACCAAAACATTACACTTTATAGCTACTCTGTATATGCTTATTTTGACAAAGGCAATTCTTTCAGCAGACTTTGTTACATCAAAAATATATGACGATCTTGTTTTTTTACAATAAATAGAATGTGAGCAGGATGATAATTTTATTAACTGAACTCTTTTTTTCCAAGAGACAGTGATTTGAATGGCTGAGGCACAATAGAAATTTACTAATATACAAGACGGTTGGGGTGGAAGGAGACTAAATCATGGGAAGAGCCGGATGCAGCTAGACCTAGCATCGGTTAGACACCTTCAGATTCCACAGGACTCTCTCTTTATCTTCCGTTCACCTATGCCTTTGATACTTAGCAAGCTCTCACTCTGGTGCGTCCTTCATGTAGTAAGGCACACATATCTAACAACTCTCAGGCCTTGTGCCTGTCAGCCGTTGCCACATTGGTGTTTCACTTTTAAAGTGCTCAGAAAATGATACAATTACCCTCACTGGGTCTAACCCTCAGCTCTGAACAGTGAACAGTGCTCCATGTAATCGAGGTCCTATGTTAAAATGGATGAGCCCATGGGAACCAGAAGACTGGAATGATGTGATAAATAGAGTCTAAAAGTTCCTGATACAAGAACAGTGTCATTAGACCAACAAATCAATGGATATCTACTGCGACACGGGCAACTGGTGATGATGACGGTGGTTGTACAGTGGTTATCTAGTTGTTTTGCTAGGACTGACATACAAAATTTGTACATGTTTTTGGAGTTCAGTGTGATATTTCAGTACATGCATGCAATAATCAAATCAGAGCTATCAAACATACATAATCTTAAACATTAATTCGTACCGTGTGCAGTGAACATTCAACATCCTTCCCTCAAGGTATTTTGAATTATAGATTAAATTCTTATGAACTGTAGTTCCTCTAATGTGCTTTACTACTCTACAACTCATTTCTCTTATCCAACTGCAAGTTTGTGTCTAGTAGCCAAGTTCTCTTTATCCTTCCCTTATGCTCCCATTTCCAGATTCTGGTATCTACCATTCTACTATCCACTTCCGCATGATCAAATCCTTGCTTCCACAAATGAGTGAGAACATGTGGAATGTTTCATTGCCTGGCTTATTTCACTGAGTATATTTTCTTTGATATTCTTCCACAAGAAAAAAATATCTATTTTTCTCCTTCATTTTAAATCGTTCCAAGTGTCTAATTTATATAATTTTCCTTTTTTTCTGCATTGCTTTCAACACTTTCTGTAAGGTACATCTACTGTAAACATTTCCTCAAGTTGTTTGTCTGAGAAACAAACAAAAGAGCAATAAATATAAATTCATTTCTCCTTCACTTTGGAGGAATAATCTTGCTGAATATAATACTTTAGGGATTTTTTTCCCTTCAACCTTAAATATTTTAATTTACTCTTTTTGCTTGTGTATTTTCTAAAGAGAAATCTGAAGAGTAATTCCTTTTTAAAATGGTTTATTTAATTTTATTTATTATAATTATTGTTTTTTTTAATTCGCTATAGGGTACACGGGCTCATCAGCGAGAGACAGAGAATAAGAGAGAGACAAACTGAGACAGCTAGCTGCCAGATCTGAAACTTGAACCACAGTTAGCCATGTGGAAGTTCAGCATCTTAATCACCATGCTACCTATTGGCCCCTGAAGAATAATTCTTAAACTTCCTCTTCTGTTATTGAAGTGCTTTTTTCAAGATTATTTCAGTATTCTATCTTTGTCTTTAATTTTCTGTGCTTTGAACAAACATGCTTAGGTATAGATTATTTGGTAATCCTGTCTAAGCTTACTGAATATGTAGAAGCTATTTGTTATTAATTCTGTTAAATTCTCAATTATTACTACTTCAAATACTTCTTTTTCTATTTCTTTCTTTTTTTTCTACTTCCTGTATTTTCATTATGTATCCTTATAACTTTTATAATTGTTCCATAAATTTTGGAGATTCTGTTCTGTTTTTTCACTCTTTTTTTTATGTTGCATTATAGTACTGCATATTTTCACTGACATAGCTACAAATTTATTGTTTTTTTCCCTTTAGCTGTGTCTTGTCTAGCAATTATTCTATCAAAGCTATTCTTTATTTCTGTTAGTGTTTTTGATTTCTTTTGATCTCTGTTTCCATTTCTCTCTATATATTGACCATTGTTGCCATAAATTCACTAAGATAAATACAAAATCTATAAAAATGATTATCTAAAATACTATTGTCCAATTCATTCTCATTGATATTCTAGCTAAACAAAATATGTTGGAAACATTTATGATGAAATATTTTAAGTGGATATTAGAATCACTTCTGTTTTAGCATCATAACTGTCAAAAACAGAAAGCCGTGACTGAAACAGTTATGGATTGTGCTGATGCCTTCTGAGAACACTTTTCATTCCCTTCTTTGAAAAATACTTGGAAAGTATAAGGAAGGAAACTACTGAAGGCTGGTAACTTTAGACATTTATTTCTTTGTTTTTCATAAAAGTCCTATAAATCAGAGACTATTATTTATGAGATTAAAAAACAATTCTAAACCTCAAATGGATAAAATAGTTCTCCTAATGTCATGCACTTAAATAAGAGGAAAGGAGAGATCTTCCAGGCTTCGGAACAGGTTTCCTTCAATAAACTGAAAATAAACTTATGAAAAGGCTAAGTAGATTTTCTCTTGTATGATGTATTGCATGTTTACTGACTGATTAGTGAGTAGAAGAGAATGAGGGTGTAGTCATTTACAAACATTTCACAGAAAATTGTCAGGCTCTCAGTAGTTCTGTAGGGTAGGGTGAGGAAAGTACAAAATATTGTCAGATTATCAGTAGTTTTGAGGGGCAGACTCTCAGCACTATAAAGTTATAAAATCAGCATTTCCCAAGTGCAGACAACTATAGAGAGTTTCTACCACCGTCTCCAAGATGCAGTTCAACTCTAAGCTACCTGATTTATAGATATAGACACGTTCATTCACCAACACAAACATGCTATTGCTTTTTTCCTCTGTGAGTTATCCTTTGTATATTTATCTTGTAATGATGAATTAATTTTCTGCTGAAAGAATAGTAAAAAAAATGTAGTGCTTCCTTTGGCAGCACATATACTAAAATTGGAACAGAGATGATTAACTTGATCCCTGAGCAAGGATAATAAATCCAAATTTGTGAAGAGTTCCATATTTTTATGTTAAGTTACTTACAAGTGTTACCTCATTAGGCTAACATCAAACCTCAAGTGAAACAATGCAAAGAAGGAAAAATAAAAAGACATATTCAAAAAGCAGAAAAAAAATTAACCCCAAGAATATTATACCCAGAAAGACTTTTCTTCATATGGGAAGAACCAATAAAATCATTCTCAGATAAACAAAAACTGAAAGAATTCACCAACACTAGACCAGCTCTTCAAGCAGTACTCCAGGGAGTACTGAACCAGGAAAATTATAAAGACAAACAGAAATAAGAGAACAAAAACAACTAAGAAAATGGCCAACAAATTGACAGGGATAAGTCTCATGCAAATACCAATGATAACGTTTAATGTTAATGAATTAAATTCTCCAATTAAAAAAGCACATACTGTCTGAATAGACTAAACAAAAGACCTCTTTGTTCTGCATCCAAAAAACATATCTCACTGATAAAGAAAAACATAGACCGAAAATGAAGGACAGTAAGAAAATATTTCAAGCTCATAGAAATAAAAAAAAAAAAAGGTTGGAGTTGAGATACTATAGACAAAATAGACTTTAAGCAAAAACTGTAAGAAGAGACGAAGAAGGACACCATTTAGAACTAAAAGGGCTAATTCACCCGGAAGCTATAACACTCATAAATATCTATGCACCAGCAATGGAGCACCCAACTATGTGAAAGAAAGGCTGCTAGATCTAAAGGGAGAGACAGGCTGCAATTCAATAATTGTTGGAGATCTCAATACTCCACTGACTCCTCTGAACAGACCATCTGAACAAAAAAATAAGCAAAGAAATACACGATCTAAATGATACCATAAATCCAATGGACCTGGCAGATATCTATAGAACTTTTCACCCAACACCCACAAAATAAAAAATATATTTCCAAACTAACTAGAAGTAATTATTTCTTAGAGTTCCTCTGAAATGAATAACACCTACAAATCATATGTGCCAAGCTGTAGTTAAGGCTTCTTATAAATAAGTAAAGAAATACATGGAATAATCACTTTAAGTTTTCTTTTGTCAATTAATAAGGAATGTAAAATTCACTGGGATATAATATTCACTATTAAATTCACACTTAGTCATTAATATATCTGCCAACTCCTCTATAAGAAATTAAATTATTTTCTCAATAAGTATTTTTCACAATAACTGTTGGTGGAAGTATTTGTCTAGTAATAATTTCTAAGAATAAAATTCTAAGAAAGTTTGATCCTAGATCCTACCAATAGCTCCCACTCAACGGGCAGCCAGAGAATTCAGTGGAAACATTCATTCTATGCACATTTTTTCCTCCTGCTCACGCCCAGGCATCTGCTGATTGATGCAAAGGTGAATTTGTGACTCAGAATCCTAAGAAGTTATCAATAATGTTATATTTTGGTAAAATATGCTTGGGAATAGTTGTATTTGGGAATTTAACCAGAACACATTAAAGGTAAAGACAGCAGCTCAACAGTCATGAGAAAAACTGGAAAAGCAATGTCATATTATAGACAATCTGAAGTAAAGTCACAGCTGAAATCAGAAAGCAAGATTAATATGGCAGAAAGTGAGAAAATCAATTGAAAATAAATATAGAAAAGAGAACATAACAAAGAATAACTGTATGCCAAAAGTTAACAGTGTCTTATAAGACTAACAGTTTGTTAATCAAAGTTGCCTTGGATTTGAGTTAGCCTGTTCCTAATCCTATTAACTGAACATAATTAAAGTTGCAATTTACTTCCATAGATTTTGTCACTTTATTGTCTTTCTATTACAAAATACTTTTTTCTCTTTAAATAATTATTTATTTAATTGTATTTATTAACATTATTTATATTTTTGAGAGAAAGATTTTTGCTATTGGGCAAGTGCCAGAAAGACAGAGAGATACATAGAGACAGAAGGCAAGAAATCACCCTCGAAGGGGAGTGACCATGCCACAATCCCTTCTCCTCTGTTCACCTCTCAGGATTTTGAGCACACATGCATATGCGCCTGGTGTGAGTTTATGCCACTGGGTATGGGACTTGAACTGTGATCAATTCCATGGGAGTCCAGTGATGTAACCATTACACCATCTGTTGGCTCCAATATTATTATTTTAAAAGTTTCTGTAGGACATGTGCTCTTACCAGAGAAAGAAAGAGAAAGAGAAGGAAAGTGAGAAAGCAAGTCACCAAGTCCAAGATTTGAACTGAAGTCAGCATTATTGGAGTCCGGCACTCCAACTACCACACCACCTGAAGGCCCTGTGAAATTATTATTTTTAAAACACAACCTCATCTTCATTTTGATCCAGGGGATAATTATTGCTTTTCTTTTAAAAAGAGAAACTGAGATTTAGAGTGTTAATAAAGTTGTCCAGTATCATGCCAAGAGTTGATATGCCACCTGCAGAACTACATACTAAATGATGGTTCATTATTATATTATTGTTTTATTTTATCAGCAGTTCCTTCTCTTCTCATTCTTCTCCTCCTTCTCCTTCTCCTCCTTCTCCTTCTTCTCCTCCTGCTCCTCCTTCTCCTCTTTCTCCTCCTCTTCCTCCTTCTCCTCCTTCTTCTCCTTCTCCTTTTCCTCCTCCTTTTGCATTTTGACTTCCATGGTAGAAAAAGTCTGGGGATCAGCCTTGTAGTGCAGCAGTTAAAGTGCTGTGCATCAGGAGCTGGATCCCACATGGCCAATGCAGTTTGAATCTCAGTCCCAGCTGCTTGATAAACATGCCAAGAGCATGTGCATATGTGTCCAAAATACCCATGAGATGGAGAAATGGAGGAAAAAAGATTGTGGCATGACCACAACCCATTGGGGGAATGTTTTGACTCTCTCTCTGGTGTGTACACGCATCTGGCAAGAAAAAAGATGGGAGGAAGGGAAACTGAAAACAAACTACAGTTATCCAACAGAATGTTACTGAAATTTCTTCAATCACCTTTTGCTTACAGGCAAAAAGGGGCCAGCAGGTGTGGTGTGATGATTAAGGTGCTGGATTGCCACAGTGCTGACTGTGGTTAATCTCAGAGTGGTAGCTTGAAAATCATGCAGGGCATGTGTGAATGCATGCCCAAAATCCTGAGAGGAGAATGGAGGAGAAGGGATTGCGGCGTGACCATCCACCCTGGGGGGTGATTTCTCACTTTCCCTCTCTCTCTTTCTCTCTGGCGAGTGCACGTGCCCAATACAAAAACCTAAATAAATAAATAAAACAAAAGTATATGTGCTTGTTGAAAGTAGAATGCACTATTGTTAGCTCAATTATAATATTGTGTTTCCAGTTTTAAGAACAATATCAAAGATCTATCAAGTAGGATGCTGCTAAGCACAAACAATTATAGATGTTTTAGACTTCTATAATAGTAATAAAGAAGAAATGACTGCTTGAATTCCGGTGTGGCAGGCTCATTAACATGATTTTTTTTTAACTGAGCGAACAGTGAGCCTTCTAAAAATAGAACTAATTGTGAGTTAAAAGGGTCAAGTTTTATTTTTTTGAGAAACTACTAATTGAAGCAAGTCAGACTACGAAAAAGAGGCATTGTAGGTTCCCAGTCAATATATACATGTCTGCACTCTGTGGCAGAAACTGAGAGAGTGGACAGTAGAAAGGCGTGGAGAGCAACTGGATATACATTCCAAAGACAGCGAGGGAGGAGGGTAACGCATCGAGGAGGGTGAGAGGAAGGAAATCAAGGAGAAAAGAAAGAAAGAAGAAAAACATTTAAGGGACACGAAAATGGAAAATTATCTGTTGTTCATAATATATATGGTAATATCTTTGAACGAATAACCAGTGCATTCTGGATGGGAAGATTCATTTGCCATACTGTAATGATACACAGCAATTGAATGTAAAAAATGAATAAATAAATAGAAAAAAATTATTTAAAAAAAGAAAAAAAATAGATTGCATCTCAAAACCTAAAAAAAAAAGAAAAAAAGTCCCATTGGTTTGCAGCAGATGTCTCCCAGAAAATCCCTATGCAGTCCTAAATGGAGGCAGAGTGGTAAAAGGGTGAGGTTTATTTAAATAAATAGTGTTAATAAGGCTTCAAGTTTGTACAAGTTTGTTTGTTTCAGTTCTTTATGGTATTGTAAACTTTGTGTTTTCCCCTGATAATGGGAATATTCTGAATAAGTTTTATTTATTTATTTATTTGTTTATTTGTTTATTTATTTATTTATTTTTCATACCTCTTCTTTGAGTTCCTGGAACTATTAATGAACTCCAGACTCAGGCTGGAGACAAATATTCAAAAGCTATATTTTCCCGTGTGTTAGCTTTAAAATGGGAGTTTTCAGCCGATAATTATTGGATATGTGTTATATCAGTGTGCATGAGGACAGTGAGGGGGTAAATTTAAATAGCTTTGTTTAAAGCTTGAGTTAAAAAAAATATAATTTGGTGGGAACCAGCAGTTAGTGTAATGGCTATGTCGCTGGACTCCCATGTAATTGACTGCGGTTCCTGTCCCGGACCCGGTGGCTTAGTGGTGAGGTTGTTTTTTTTTATTAAAAAAAAAAAAATATATATATATATATATATATATATATATAAAATTTGGGGATCAATTTAAAGATCCCTTTACAACACGCTTGTCTTCTCTCTCCTTTTCATCTCTTGAAATGATAGATTCTCTTTATGGCAGCAGAGTACATGAGGCAGCACAAAACAAATCGGTGTGTGTGTGCACCGTCACATGCACATTTATTTTCCCGCTCTTTGTTGGTGAATAGACACAGCCTGCTGCTATATTTCTTTGTGGGGGCTTGTGAAATGAATGAATTTCAAAAGTTTGAAAGTTGGCTTTGTATCTGTGGCACACCACCACTTCCTTTTGTAAATGAAAGAATGAACTGCATTTCATTTCTCTGGAAAAAAAAATGCCACCTGTCATAGGTTCCTAAGCCCCTATTCATATTTTGATAAGCAACATCCATTTGAGTTTTCTTTTTCTAATGAGAGGTTTAAGTTGATTGAAAAGTATTTTTTTCT